GGCCGGCCCGCCCCGCCGCTTCCGCCGCCGCCGCCGCCGCCGCCGCGGGGTGAGAGGGCGGCGGGCGGTGCTTAGGGCGGCGGCCGCGGCGGGGCGTCTGCGGCGTGAGCAGAGCGGCAGTGCACGGCCTCGCCTGCGGGGTCGCAGCCGGCACGACTGGGCCTTGAGCGAGAGCACATCCTCGCAGCGCGGAGTCGGGAGCAGCCGGTTTTCCGGCCAGCTCCCCGGGCATTCCAGGACCAGAGTGCGGCCGCGCGAGGCCTGGCCCAGCCCTGCAAGGCTGCTTCCGGGCCGAGGAGGAGAGAATTAGGAACCTGCTCCACGACTGTTTTGAGCCCTTATGTTAGTTAACTCCATTCCATAAACCATGATTGAGAGGCGCTGTAATTACCCCGTTCTTTAAAGAAAACCAAAAATTATTTTTTTAAGTGTGTGCATGTGCAGGTAGAGCGCGTGCTTCTTGAGGAGACCAGAGCTTGGATCTGACACCGCTGGAGCAGGAGTTAAAGCAAGTTATGAGCTTGAGTGGGCATAGTGCTATGAAGCTCCTGCGGAAAAAAAGTGCAGCAGGTGTGCTTAAGCCTTGAGCCATCTCCAGCCCCTGACTAATCCTTTTTTGAGGGGCAGGAGGTTGAGACAGGGTCTCTCCATATACTCCTGGCTGTCCTGGAACTCCCTATGTAGACCACGCTGGACTTGAACTCACAGAGATATACCCTCCTCTGCCTCCCAAGTGCTAGGATTAAAGGGAGTGTACCACCATGCCCAGCAGCGCTTGATTTTATCTATTTATTTTTTTGAGCTTTCCAACTTTCACCTGCCTCTTGCGTGGAGTGTTGGTATCTTTCAACATGGTGACAGTGCTTGTCAGGTTGGGCTCGGTGTTGCACAACTACAGAGGCGAGGGAAGAAGATCGTCTCTTTGAGGCAAGTCCATTTTCATAGCAAGATGCTAAGAGCTCACCTCGGTAGCTCACTGCTGCATTCCTAGCGCTCAGGAGGCCGGCAGAGGAGGATTGCCATAGATTCAGGGCAACATGAGTTCCAGGACAGCCAAGATTATAAAGTGAAACCTGCCCTCAGAAACAAAACAAGTTTTTGTTTTGTTTTGTTGTTTGCAAGTTCTTTATAATGAAGTTTTTCTTAAACAAGAAGTTTTCACATCAGTCTCTGGCCCTCTTCTCCATGAAGATCTATGAAGATCTTATCTACTCTTGTTCTCTACCATTGTCCAGATTTTCAAACTCTGGTCTCTTGAGCATCAGGCGATCTCCTATGTCTAGCTGACTGCTGCATCTCTTCACAGGACCCACAGTCTCAGAGCTACTGGCATCATCTCCGCCTGCTCAGAGATCTTCTCATAGTCCTTTCCTTGGTAAATTGTTATCAGGCCATATAGCTGGGACCCCTTTGTCTTTTTTCCATGATGTTAGCTGAAATCAACTGTCGTGATAGTTGAAATAATTTCTTTTTTTTGAACAATATTGAATACCATTTGAAATGAATGAATTAGTTGCCCAGTTCTTTCACTTGTACCTGTTATAATCAAAGCCTCTCCAGCCAGCCAGCCAGTTCAGCTACTTCAGGTTTTTTTTGGTTTCTAGATAGTCTCCTTGACTCGAGTTTTGCTTCTCCAATCTTCCTTGCTCCTTGAAAAGTCCAGAGTAAGGCTAGATGGTGGTGATACACGCCTTTATTTCCAGCATTTGGAAGGCAGAGGCAGCCAGATCTTTGAGGCCAGCCTGGTCTACAGAGCAAGTTCCAGGACAACCGGGGCTACACAGAGAAACCCTGTCTCAAAAGAGAAAAGTCCAGAGTAATTTCTTTAAAAAGACAAATATTTTAACAATCTCTGGTTAAAAACTTAGTTCCTTTGCAGTTGCTGTGGTAAAACACCATGACCGAGGCAACTTGTAAGAGAAAGCATTTACTATTGAGGGCCACAGTTTCAGGGGGTTAGAATCCATGTGGTGGGGGCATGAAGTCAGGTAGGCAGGCATTGTGCTGAACCAGTAGCTGAGAGCTCAAATCTCATCTCCATCCACAAGCACAAAGCAGAACTAACTGGGAATGGTATTTTGAAACCCCAAGGCCCAACCCCAAAGACACACCTCCCCCAGCAAGGCCACACTTCTTAATCCTTCCCAAACAGTTCCACTGAGAACCAAGCATTCAAATATACAAGCCTGTATACTAATACACATTCTCATTTAAACTAGCACAACAACCATGGAGCAAGAAATGCTAAGGAGAGCTAAGGTGCACACCAGTGATCCCAACTCTTGGGAGGTATGGTCATCCTTGGCTAAACCACTGAGGCTAACCTGGGCTATATGAGAAAGGAAAAAGAAGTCCAGCTGGGCTCTGTGGTACACACCTGTAATCCTAGCACTTGGGGAGGCAGAGGCAGGCAGATCTCTGTGAGTTCGAGGCCAGCCTGGTCTACAAAGCGAGTCCAGGACAGCCAGGGCTTGTTACACAGAGAAACTTTGTCTTGAAACAACAACAACAAAGTCCAAATATTTCAGCCTGGGTTGGTGGCATAAGCCTTTAATCCCAGCACTAGGGAGGCAGAGACAGGTGGATCTCTGAGTCGAGGCCATCAAGAGACCCAGCCTCAAAAAAAAAAAAAAAAAAGTCAGCCATATATTCATAGAAAATCAGAATATAACATTTAAATTTAGAAGGAATGGTAGAAGACTGTTTAAAATTATGGATGGTTGGGCTGGAAAGACGACTTGGCAATTAAGAGCACATATTACTCTTATACAGTACTCTCAGTTCCCGACAGTTGTATCAAGTGGCTCACAACTGCCAGGAACTCCAATTCTGGGGGGAGCTGTACTTAGAGGTATATTTCCACACAGAGGAAATATACAGGTAGTAAATTAATAAATGCAAATCTAGAACTATGAGTAGTTAAGCACACACAAGCAAAAAAAAACCAACAACAAAGCTCTACAAATCAACAACAAATTGAAAGTGGGTTGCCTTTGAGAAGTAGGCTCAGAGGTATGGAAGAGTAGAGGGAAGTGGCTCTTTTTCTTTTTTCCTTTCTTTTTTTGAGACAGGGTTTCTCTGTGTAGCCCTTGCTGTCCTGGAACTCACTCCGTAGACCAGGCTGGCCTTGAATTTACAGAGAACCTGCCTCCTTCTGCCTCCCAAGTGCAGGGATTAAAGGCGTGTGCTACCACTGCCGGCACCTTTTCATTTTAAATCTTTCTGTAATAGTGGGCTGTAAACACTTGGATTAAAATCCCAAACGGGACTAAACAGTTTTTCCTTACCTGTAGAATTAAGCCCAACTGGCTTAGAAACATACCGGTGTTACTCAGTGTGGTCCTCGGAGCGTGGTGTGGCCATCTCTTTTAGCTTCTCAGAAATGCAAACTCAGCCTGGAGACCCTAGCTCAGCAGGTGCTCTTAGAGAGGACCTGAGTTCCGGTCTCAGCACCCAGGTTGCACAGCTCACAACTCTAAATCCAGCTTCCAGGGACCTGACGCCTTCCTGTGGCCTCAAAGACACCTGTACTCATGTGCCCATATCCTGCACGAATGTATACACACATACATGTAACTAAACTAGAAAGGAAATCCTTCAAAAGGACATTAATTCCTATACCGGTAAGGCAGTGGCAGGTGGATCTCAGTGACCTCAAAGCCAGTCTACTCTACATAGCAAGCAAACTCCAGAACCTTCTCTGTACACACACACAAGAGAGTGCCAGGCAATGGCGGCACATGACTTTAAGCAGTCCTGGGGAGGCAGAGGCAGGAGGATCTCTTAGCCAGCCTGGTCTACAGAGTAGGTGGGTTCCAGAGAAACACAGAGAACCCTTGTCTTGGGGGTCAGGGGGAAGCAATGCAGGACGTCAGGCCCTAACTTCCCAAGGTTTTCAGATGACCCATACTTAGGCTTAGGAAGCGTCTCTTTTGTAAGCCCGTTTAAAATCAAGATCAAGGCACGTGGATCCCTTCCATTTTAATAATGGTTGCTTCTTACTTGTCAGGGGCAATGACCTGTTACTTCTTCAGTCTGATTTCTAGGTGCTGGAAGGTATCCATAAGGTGCATGGCTATATTCCAGCCCCTATAACAGACACAGCTCTTCAGCAGAAAGCCTTCCAACCCTTCTGCCGCCGTCTTAGCTCTGACTGGGGCATTCTACTTTTCATTCCTCAAGCATTTATTAGCTTCCTGCTATGTGCCTAGCTAGTGCCAACGGAGGGAGAAGGAACTGATCTCTCTCTCTCTTTTTTTTTAAGATCTTCAGTTCCAAATCTAGCCCAGTCGCTCGCCATCCAGGGCTAGAAGTTGTGTGCGCACCGGCCGGTATCGCTCTTCCCCCACCCCACACAACTGCGCGGCTTTTCTGAGCGTTACGGCACCCTCCTCCTGCCCCCTGCGCGGCGCGGGCGGGGACCCACCGGTTTAGCTCCGCGTTCGCCGCAGAGAACCGAGGACCTTAGAAAACCGGACACCGGCGTCCGGTCGCCCAGTCCTGTTCTGGCTTGGGGCCACATGGAGGGGACCGTGGAGTCCCAGACTCCTGACTTGCGAGACGTGGAGGGCAAGGTGGGCAGGAAGACCCCCGAAGGGCTGCTCCGCGGGCTTCGAGGCGAGTGGGAGCTGGGAAGCTCCGGGGACGTGCTGCTCCCGGGGGCGCCCAGCACGGGCCACGGCCTTGGGGACAAGATCATGGCGCTGAGGATGGAACTGGTGAGTGTGGGTGCTACAGGCCACGGGGACGGGGTGCGGGTTCTCTGTGTAGGGCCGTTTGTAGGGACCGGCTCAGGTTCCCGGAGTTAGGCTGGAGAGGAGGGTCCTTCCTAGATCAGTCCTGGGTTGAAAGCGGAGTTACAGTATTTGGCTCTCAAGGGTGAGTGAAAGCTTGATAGGTCCTGAGAACTGGGAGGAGGAGGCATAGCTTTTGGAAGTTTTCCCTGCCCAATAATCGGGAGGAGGGTTAAGCGGCACACACACACCACACACACACACACACAAACTTAGTACATACAGTGCAAATTCTTCCCATGGGGTCCCCAATTTCCTCAGAGCCCTATAATGCAACCGTTTTCTTTCCTTCCCCTTCCTCTGGAAAACAGGGGAAAGGTTTGGTTCCTAAGGCCCCAAGGTGTTCAGGTCAGGATTCGGGGGTGTGTGTGTGTGTGTGTGAGGTAATTCATGCTAGAAACTGCCTACACTGGGGCACACTAAAACCACGTCCCTTTCGTGAGCATCGCACCATCACGGTATTAAACGTTCTGAGACCTTTATAGAAACAGTAGCAACACTGTTTTAGTTGGTCCTTCACCTGGTACTCAAGTCTTCTTTCAGACTCCCAGGGTCTCACCTTTACCTTCTTGGAGAGAAGGGGAGGAAACAGAGGCACACCCCGCCCTTCCCTGGAACTGTTTGTTGGTCTAGATTTTGAGCCAAAAGGGCAGCCGGGCCCCAGCGGGCTCCCCCGGGGCCCTGGTTCCGGTGAAAGAGATGAATTCCACCTGCCACCACTTCCCAGCCAGTTCTGGAGAACTAAGGATTTGCCAGCTAGTCGTTGGCTCAGGACCAGAAGCCCACAGTGACAGTGAGTTAAGTCTTCCTGAGGCCCCACTGTGTGAACAACCGGTGTCAAGAAGATCTGGGAGGGTGGATGGAAGAGCAGGGAACCTCTGAAAGCCAGACCAGGGCTTTCATTTTGTGGTGAGAGGCTAGGAAAGCCTCCTGTGGTGAGTGGTTGGAGAGGATCCCTGCAGTCAGGATAGGAAGGCCAGGTGTGTACTTGGCCTTGAAGGTTGTCGCTGAGTGCCACATTCTCAGAGCAGGGCTGTAGCTACACTTACCTCTGAAAGAAGCCTGGTTTGCCTCGTTGTACAGACTTCCCCAGGCATAGAGAGAGCTTACTAGTTTGTCCTTAAAAGCTAAGTTGTTTTATTATTTTTAATTTTTAATTTTTTTTTTTTGAGACATAGGCTCACTATGTAGCTCAGGCTGGCCTCAAACTCATATTCCTCTTGAGTGCTGAGATTATGGGCACATGCTACCATACCTACGTGGAAATTAAATAATACTCAGAATATAAGCCACATGCTACCACCCAGCCTGATATATGTGGTATATGATATTTTTCCTTTTTAAGAATTTTAAGAAACTTTTTGTGTAGGAATATTTTGCCAGTGTGTATGTATGTGTACCACATGCATGCTGTTGCGCATAGAGGTCAGAGAGAGCCTTAAATCCCTTGGAACTGGAGTTATAAATGGTTGTGAGCCACTGTGGGGGTGCTGGGAACCTAGTATGGGTTCTGTGTGAGAACAAGTGCTCTTGCTGGTGGTGTCACATGTCTTTAATTTAATCCCAGCCTTAGCAGAGGCAGGGGGACCACTGAGTTCAAGGCCAGCCTGGTCTACAGAGTGAGTTCCAGGACAGCCAGGGCTACACAGAGAAACACTAGCTTAAAACAGCAAACAACAGAGCCGGAGAGATGGCTCTCAGAGGTTAAGAGCAGCACTGTCTGCTCTTCCAGAGGGTCTCAGTTCAGTTCCCAGCAACCACACGGTGGCTCACAACCGTCTGAGCCTCTCTGGATCTTAAAAAGAAAAGAAAAACCAATAAAAACCAAACCAAAAGAACCATGTGCTCTTGCCTGCTGAGCCACCTCTCTAAACTTATCCCCCTGTGGAGGTGCTGAGATTGAACCTAGGGCTTGCCCGTGCTAGGGGAGTGCCCTGTAACAGAGCTGTGCCACCACGTCCTACGATGCCCCCTTCACGCTCAGCTAGATTAGTGGTATTTCATAGATGAAAGAATTGAGGCAGAGAGAAGTTAAGCAGTTGCCCAAGGTCTCTCAAAAAAGTAAAGTCAAGATTTGAGCCCAAATCATCTGACCACATTCATCATGAAGACCCGCTTTATACCAGGGCCGTTAAGCACATTTCATGAGGAAAGTTCCAAACGCCCATGGGCTTCCTTCTCATACAGGGAGTCTGGAGGCAGGCCTGACCTCTGACTTTAGTTCTTTATAAACCTTAAGGGAGTACATTTAACTTCTGGTTTCATCTTTTTTAACTTTTGGCCCTTCAGGCCTGGGGTTTGAGGCTTCCCATGAACAGTGTACCAGAAGGGGAAGAAGATTCCTGTCAGGCTTCTTTCTACCCCCAAAGGCCAGGACAGCATTGATTTCTTCTCAGATTCTGTTCTACCCATTGGTTTTACTGAAGGGTGGGGCAGATTTGAGGCCAGGAAGGCAGGACTGACCAAAGCCCTCTGAGGACTGTCCTTCAGTTGTCCCTCTCCCTGCTGTCCTCACATAGCAGCAGAGGCCTGCCCTTCAGGCCAAGGTCAGCCCTGCTTTTGGCTTCCCACTCTTGCTTTGTTTCCCTCCTCAGAAGCTGAGTAAAGAGCCAGACTCTGAGATGTGTGGGAACGCAGACAATGATGACCTCCCGGGCCACCCATAGCTGTTGCTATGAGAAGCCACCTCCGCACAGCAGACTTCAGAAAAGTGTTAGGCAAGGAATGGAGGGAAGGCATGGGTTCAAATCTGGTATTTGCTTCTGATGTGTTTTTTGATCTTAGGGTCCTGTCCTTAGGCCTTTTTACCCTTTGGTGGAGGAAGTGAGGGGGTAATTGTGGAACGAGACGCCTGTTAAGAGCTTTTATTTTTAGTGATAATAGTTAATCCCAACAGTCAGTTACCAGCGATCTAGAACTTGGTCTTCAAGCTTTTAACCTGAGGTTTGATTTGGGTTGAGCCAAGAGTGTCCTACTCAGGGCACTTGGGCTGGGCAGAGTCTGATCTACATGTGTGGAAGAGTAGGGAGCCTCCAGGGAAAAGCATTGGGCCGCTTCTGTTTATCTTCTGCTCTGTTTCCAAAGAGATGGCGTGAAATGAGTGTTTCTTTTTCTGTCGAGAAAGCCTTCTGCTTCTATTCTGGGAGATGGTGTCGTCACAGTTAGGGGATCCCACTGTTGCAGGATTAAAGAATCCGGTGCTCAGGTTGGTTTCCTAAGCAACACAGTACAACTAAGCCTCTTGAGTCTTGAGGACCACCAGAGAGATCAGATAATGAAGGCAAGAGAATCACAAAATTGAACAAAAGGAACTGCTCTTAGGGAGCTGATGACCTGGGGTGGGGAAAGAGGAGACAGTACAGGCTTGTACAGGAGGAGAAATTTTGTTGGGGGCTAGGAATGTGCTTGGCTTGCCTTGCATGCAGAAAGCCCTGAGTTAAATCTTGAGCAATAACACAAAACTGGGTGTGGCAGGACATGCCTGTAACCCCAGTCCACTGGAGGTAAGGCAGCAGGATCAGAAGTTCAAGGGAAAAATGTTGGAATGAGGGCCTGCCTCCCAGAAGAGCTGACCTGGGGGGTGTGGTGTCAGGTGTTCGATGTTTTGAATTGGAGGAAAGTGCATTCTCTGGCTGGAATGCTTCTGTCCACTGTCTGCTCAAGCCCAGCCTAACCCGTCTTAGCTCACGTCTTTCATCTGGGTTTGGGTTATGGCCCTCCAGGTATGTACAATTTTCTGTAGCAGTTGTTTTCTCTACCATTTGTCATATGGAATTTTAAAAAAATTATAAACATTTTTTTCTATGTTTGAGTGTTTTGCTGTTAGTGTGTGTGTGGAGCACATGCATGACGGGTGCCTGCAGACGTCATCAGAGGACTTCATATCCCCTGGAGTTAACGATTGTGATGACACCATGTTGGTGCTGGGAACTGAACCCAGGTCTTCTTCAAGAGCAGCAAGTGAAGCCAGGCATTGTAGCACACACCTTTAATCCTAGCAGAGGCAGAGGCAGGTACTCTTACCTGCTAAGCCACCTTGCTGGCCCTCTAAGTCCTTTTTAAAAAATACCTTTTGGGATGGGCACAGTGGCACATGCCTGTAATCCCAGTACTCTGAGAGGCAGGGACAGGCAGATCTCTATAAAAAAAAAAAAAAAGCCACTCTGGTCTACAGATAAAGTCAGGACAGCCAAGGCTACACAAGAGAAACCCTGTCTCAAAAACAAAAATCCTCGTGCTACCACACCCATTTCTATACGAATTTGTTAATTTGGTTAAAAGTTAAAATAAATAAACCTAAACTTAAAAGCAATACTGTACCAGTGTGTGGATGACACACTTTTTTTCTTTTTCTTTTTTCTTTCTTTCTTTTTTTTTTTTTTTTTTTTGGTTTTTTCGAGACAGGGTTTCTCTGTGTGGCCTTGGCCGTCTTGGACTGTCTTTGTAGACCAGCCTGGCCTCGAACTCAGAGACCCGCCTGCCCCTGCCTCCCTGAGTGCTGGGATTACAGGTGTGCCACTGTGCCCGGTGGTGTTGACACACTTCTTTACTTCCAGGACAAGGCAAGGGCAAACAGATCTGTGAGTTTGAGGCCAGCCTGCATACATAGTGAGTTCCAGGCCAGCCAGGGGTACATCGTGAGAAGTGTCTCAAAACAGCAATAAATGTTGTGGCAGGATCTTGATTCACAAAGAAGTATATTGGACTTGAAGCTGGAGAGACAGACAAGGGTTATGACAAACTGCTGATGTGTTCAGATTTCATTCTGTCAGAGCACTACAAACCACTGAGTCAGGTTCAGACTTGGGCTTGGGAAAGGCTAACCTAGTACACTTGAGCTGGGAGGGACCCTGGAGGTTACACTGTAGTTCACTCTTACTTCCGGGAGTAATAGCCCCAAACCCCAAGCCAGTGGGATTCTGGCCCTGAGCTCTGCCCCGCCCTTCTTCCCTCAAGCCTTGTCACCCAGTCTTCAGGGAGCAGGGAACCAAGTTAGTGCCCACTTGATTCCTCAGCTCCCATCTCCTTTTGGCCCAGACTGTTCCCCAGCTAACACTGTATAGCTGTCCTTTGCCTTCTAAGTCATACTAGTGAATCTGGATGGGTCTAATAGTTTACCTTGAATAGGAAGTTTGAAGCCCAGCGTCTTAGTTAGGGTTTCTATTGTTGTGAAGAGACACCGTGATCATGTCAACTCTTAGAAAGGAAAACATTTAATTGGGGCTGGCTTATAGTTCAGAAGTTTGGTCCATTACATCACAGCAGGAAACATGGTGGCACATAGGCAGACATGGCGCTAGAGAAGTAGCTGAGAATTCTGTATCTCGGTCCACAGGCAGCAGAAGGAGAATGAGACACACAGGATGTAGCTTGAGCATAGGAGACAGGGTTTCACTGTGTAGTCTTGGGTGACTTGGAACTCACTTTGTAACCAGGCTGGCCTTGAACTCACAGAAATTCTACTGCCCCCCAAGGGTTTCCTTTGCCTCTTAATTAAGTGCTAGAGCTACATGCATGAACCAGCACACTCAACCTTGTTTTATTATTTCATTAATTTTGAAACAGGGTCTCATGAAGCCCAGGCTGGTCTTGAACTGCCAATGTAGTTCAGTATGACCTTGAACTTCTGATCCTCTTGCTTCCACCTCCTGAGTGTGCATCACCGCATCTAGTTCATCTGGCTGGTGCTAGCTTCGGACTCAGGGCTTAGGGGATGCTAGGCAAGTGTTCTCCCCACCAAGCCACATCCACAGCCCCTTAGCGGCATAGTTTCATATTTAACATCTACTGACGCCCCACTGTAGAAAGTGTATACCCAACGCCATTTCAAAATCCTTCTCCATGCTGTGAAGTGAACGATTCAGTCTTGTTTTTCAGTCAAAGAAAAACAAACACCTACTTATCATCACATAGTTAATCAGTAAGAAAGTTGGTTTTTTGTTTTTGTTTTTGTTTTTTGTTTTTTGAGGGGGGGTTATTTTTCAAGACAGGGTTTCTCTGGTTGTTCTGGAACTTTTTTTGAAAGTTCTAGGCTGAATTCACAAAAATTCTCCTGCCTCTGCCTCCTGAATGATGGCATTAAAGGCATGCACCACCACCACCTGGCTGGAAAGTTGGTTTTTGTTTGGTGCTAGGGATGGAACCCAGGATTTCACACATGCTAAGAGGCAAGTTTATTCTTCATTGAGCTGTATCTCCAGCCTACTCAAGCCCCATCTGAGAATTTAAACTGGAGTCTCTGCTCTAAAGCCCATCTTTCAGACCTTTTTTTAAATTTCTTTTTCCATGTGAAAGTGAAGCGTAGCTGGCTGGACCACAAGGTTAGGGAGACACCTGGGAAACGCATAGCGTAGAACCTGGAGCTAACTTCTTTCTGCACTTCTTCAGGCTTACCTTCGAGCTATCGACGTGAAGATCCTGCAGCAGCTGGTGGCATTGAATGAAGGTATCGAGGCAGTTCGCTGGCTGTTGGAAGAACGGGGAACACTGACCAGCCATTGCAGCAGCCTCAATAGCAGCCAGTATAGTCTGACAGGTGGAAGCCCAGGCCGCTCAAGGCGGGGCAGTTGGGACAGCCTGCCAGATACCAGTTTAACTGACCGCCTGGATAGCGTTTCTATTGGCAGCTTCTTGGACACTGTGGCCCCCAGAGAGCTGGATGAACAAGGGCTCCCTGGGCCTTCCTGTCCTGAGATTGGCTGGGCAAAGGTTATACCCAGTGAAGACAGGGCCAGGACTGATGTGGACATGACATCCAGCAAGCTAGGGAGCTTAACAGCTACATGGAAGCTCCCAGGGGACGAACTCCGAGTTGGACCACCTGAGCCACCAGAGGATGACAATTCGAAGCAGGGCTTTGAGGCTCATTGGTACTGGGAACAGTGCCAGGATGATGTGACCTTCTTGTAAAGACTTTCCTACCCATTTGTACTTTGTGGCTCTTTCAACTTTTGGCCCAAGTCTCCGTCAGTTTTCCCTCAACTCACACTAGACAGAGGCTGTACTGTAATCAGTTAACGTGAAAGTCTGGCCTATCTCTTTGGTCCCTGGGGAGCCTCTGCATTCACCCCTCAATTATTGGGTCCCTAGAGCTATTTCCATAGAGATGTTGGCTCTAGAGGCCTCACCTGTGGCTCCTGAGGGAAGGGTATCTCCATGCCCCTCCCCAGTGAGGTGAGTTTTATGGAATTTAGGACCTCTAAGATATCACTATAGAAGAGGGAATAATTGTCTCATCCAATGCCTAGGAGTCTGGGATGCTTCTTAAAAAAAAAAAAATGGAGAATTGAGAAAGGACAGTCAGGGCCAAACCTGCATGGATTGGCCCTTTTGGAGTTGAGAGAGCAACCATTTTCTGCCTTCTTAGTGATGTCATTTCTTGTCATAATTCAGGAAAAGTGCTTCCTCTGTACCAGTCCTGGTTGGTGTTTGATAGGTCTGTATACAGGTTTCACTTAATGTGAGAGGGAACACATATGTCTGTGCTGTTTTTATCAAGTTCTTACTTTCCAAACATGGTGTTTTCAAGGCTTCACCTGTGACTAAATCCCTGTTTCTTACCAAGTAAGAAACTCAGAGGCCTCCACCAGGCTCTCAGATCTGCTTGGCTTACTTTACTACAGACCCCTATCTGGCCCTGGGCCTGGGCCGGGCGTGACCACGTCCAGCTAGGCCTCTGCATTTTTAAAATATGTGCCTCTGTCGTTTAGGAGTAAGGAGAGTAAAGGTTTCGGGCTCTGGACACACTCTGGGATAGGGGGATGATCTTAGTCCTTTCTGTCCCTGTGTTTACTTACCCTTCCTTCATCCTGGCCATTCTTCCACTATTTGGTCATAAGGATGCTTGCCTGAAGTTGAGACACAAGGAATCCCTTTGTCTGAGCTACAATGGAGGGAGTGTGACAGGAAAACACTGAGGCCCTTTGGTTCCTGGACCTCATTAGGGCGAAGAGGCTATGAAAAGTCCTTCTTTAGGCAAGCCCCTAACTGACTCCTGGACTTGAGGGATAATCAGGACTTGCTCTAAGGTTGTATCCCAAGGTCCTAGCTAATTATACCAAGGAAGAAAATCTAGGAAACTGCCATTCTGAGGCTCAAGGAAGAGGCAGAGGGCAAAGGCTGTGATTAATACCTGGACAAATGTATGCACCACCATACCTGGTACATACATTTAGTCCCAACACTCAGGAAGCAGAGACAGGTGGATCTCTGTGAGTTCTAGGCCAACCAAGGCTATATACATAGTGAGACCCAGTCTTAAAAAAACAAAGAAACCAGAATGAAAGCTGGGCATGGTGAGGCACGCCTGTAATCCTAGCACTCTGGGAGGAAGAGGCAGGTGGATCTCTCTGAATTTGAGGCTAGTCGGGTCTACAGAGTGAGTCCGGGACAGCCAAGGCTACACAGAGAAACTCTGTCTCGATAAATAAATAAACAAACAAACAAACAAAAAACTAGAAATAGATTAGCCCTTTGGGTCCCAGGTAACTGCCCTGTCTTTCCAGAGCCCTGAAATTGGATTCCTGGAGGGGGAAAGTGTTATCTTTGTTTAGTGGGCCCTCCTGAGTTGGAGTCTTGCCCAAATCCCAGAATAACAGCCATTTTCTGTTTTTCAGAAATTCCATGTTGGGGAAAGGGAAGGCAGTCAAGTTACGTCTACTTTCCTGTCTCCCGGCCCCAATGCCGCAACAGTTGTTTTGCAACCACCAAATCCCCAGCCTCTGGCTCTTCTAAAGACCCTCTTGTCCCCTGCCTTAAAGTGGTAGTGGTCATCACTATTCCTACAATGACTTCAGGTGGCTGGGTCTCCTTAATCTGTTCGTTGCCCTGGAGCTCAGGCTCTCCATAGCTCTGGGATTTGGAATTTCAAATACCCTGTCTCAGTCTGAGCCAATCCACAGTGCTCCCTTGCACAACCAGTACCTTTTGTCTTTGAAGCTACTGTATTCCTTTTTTTTTTTTTTTTTTTTTGAGGCTCATTTCTTCCCAGTATAAACGTCTGAGCTGAAAAGGCTGCCTGCCTCCTTGTGGCCATAATGCAGTATTGCCCGGAGTTGCTGGGTGAAATCTCCAAGTTTAAATGTAATTCAGTCCAGCCTTTCAGGAGACCATCCCTCTTAGTGCACAGAGGATTAGGCCTAGAGATGGCATAGATTTGCCCAGTTCTACCTGTTGTGAAATTGTGGCAAAGGCCATGTTAGAGTGCCTGAAACCCACAGCTCCATCTTTAGACATACTGACCAGTTAACACCCCAAAGCCCAAAGGAACTGAAAACGTTTTCTCGTAAGATTTGAGACCTACCTGGGTATGGTGGCCCACACTTTGGCCTGCAATCCCAGAACTTGACAGCTGCATACAGAGCAGGAGTTCAAAGTCATCTTCAGCTACATAGCAAGTTCAAGGCCAGCTGACCACATGAGGCGCCCCTTCCCCACACACACATTCACTCATAACAATCATCCACCCACCCTACCCCTAAAGAAGCAATTGAGTCTTTACAGGGATTCAACCGGACTAGGTGAAGGGCTTGCTGATCTAGACATCAAATAGGAAAGCCCAGGGCGAACCTTCCCCCCACCCCCCGCCCCTGTGGAAAGGAAAAAGGCATGGGTTGGAGGTTAGCACTGTGGAGCTAGAGCTGGAGATTAGAAGCAGGATGGGGTGAAATTAGGAAAACCAAGCAGCTGACCTTGCAGAAGTGAAGGTGTACCACAGGTTTAGGAATGATTTGAAAGTGTTGGGTTGGGTCTGGAGAGATGGCTCAGTGGTTAAGAGCACTGTGTGTTCTTCCATTGGTCCTGAGTTCACTTCCCAGCAACCCCATGGTGGCTCACAACCATCTCTATTAGGATCTGCTGCCCTCTTTTGGAATGCAGGTGTACATGCAGATAGAGCACTTATATACATAAATAACTCTTAAAAACAAAAGAGAAAGTGTTGGGCTGGAGATATGGTTGGGATGATTTTGAGACTCCAGACTTTTCGCTTTATTTTTGAGACGGGGTCTCTAAACACAACCCTGGTTGTTCTGGAACTCACATTGTAATACAAGGCTAGCTTCAAACTCACAAAGATCAGCCTGCTTCTGCCTACCAAGTACTGGGATTAAAGGTGTGTATCACTGTGTTCAGAGTTGTTATTGTTTTTAACGATTGATTTTTAGAAAGCATCGTATTTTATAGCCAGTGTTGACCTGGGACTCACTATGTAGCCCAGGATGGCCCTGGAACAGGTGAGAAATCCTCCTGCCTCAGCTTCTGAGTACTGGAATAACAAGTGTAAGCTACCACACTTGGCTTTGGGTATCCTGTTGTTTCTGTTTGTTGTTTGGTTTTTTGTTTTTTGTTTTTTTTTTTTTTTAGTTTTTCAAGACAGGGTTTCTCTGTGTAGCCCTGGCTATCCTGGACTCACTTTGTAGACCAGGCCAAGCTCAAACTCACAGAGATCTGCCTGCCTCTACCTCCCGGGTGCTGGGATTAAAGACATGTGCCACCACTGCCCAGCTTGGGCATTCTGTTTTACTACCTTCAGACTCCAACATCTGAGGAGTTTATGAGCCAAAATAAATATATCCCCAGTCCTTCCTACCTGCTTCCAGGTTGCCTGGTTGATGCCTGGCTGTTCTGTTAGCATGGACTTTTAGGAACTATAGGTAGGCGCTGTTTGGGAACTCTGTGAAATGGGAGAGGGGAGAGATGCAGAGAGACAAGAATGGGATAGAACAGGGTGAAAGTTTGGACAGAGGAAGCACACTGCTGTCCGAATGTTCTGGGGCTGTCCTCAGAACTCATAATTCAAAGATGGTAGCCCGGGAGGGCAAAGACGGGTCTGGCCAGTCTGATTCCATCTGTCCGGCAACATGAGGCAATGGGAGAGATCAGGTGTTAGGGTGTGTACTTGGTGGGAGCAGGGAGTTGGTGGTGAGGGTAAACATTTGGGTGAATGGAAGCTGGTGGCAGTTTCAGTTAGCAATATTTAGGGTTACAGCAAACACAAGTTCATTGTGGGCATGGTGCTAGGTACTTGCTGAATATTCAGTTTTACACGTTCAAAGAATAATGAATGTGTATAAGCCTACAAGCCAATATAATGCATAGAAAGAAAATTAAGCTGGTTTATACATTAGCATTTAAAAACATTGTTTAATTCTTAATCCTAGAAACAACTCACTGTTACCAACATATTGTTGCTTAGAAATTTGCTAACTTCAGACAGGTAACAAGTAAACCAATGTAGAATGATGGTCAATGTGACTGTAAGGCCTTCCAGGAAATCTATGGCTCCCCACTTCACTCCCTCAGCTACTCTGTTTTTATTCTCCTAGGAGATCAGGTAGTAATATTGATTTGCTGCTGCTGACATAATGAATTACCATAAACTCAGTGGCTTAAAGCCCAGTTAGGCTGGGCATGCTGGCACATGTTGGCACATGCTGGCAATCCTAGCTCTCATGGGGTTGGGGAAGGCAGGCTGTAAGTTTGAGGCCAGCCTCAGAAAAGGAATGAGACTTGAGAGAAAATCCTAGGCTTTTTAAAGCCTGTAGCACTTGTGACCAGGGTGGAATGTTTCTGCAGGCAGGGCCCTTGACAGTTTCTCCTCTCCAGTGCCACTGTGTGTGCCTGCTCCTCCAGGCAGAGGTAATTACACTCCCAGAAGACTAACCTTGGTTCTCCCTGGGAAGCACACACATGTCTCCTCCTTAAATAGATTTTATTCCTTAGTGGTTAATTATCGTCGATACTAGACCCTCTTTTTTATTTCCTGATCCCTAGTCTCTATCTTCTCTCGGACATACATATACACTCAAACTTGTCAATGTATGTTAGGAAAGGTATCTTTAAATATATTTGTATATGTGTTTATCTGTGTGTGTGCGTGAATGTGTATATATATATATATGATTCTGTGCTTTTACGTGTTTTGATGTGTATAAATGGTATACTTTGATAGTAAACTAACTTCTATAATGAATTGCTCTCATATTTCAGTAACAACACAATGTGTGACTTATTTTTCGCCTGTTCCACAGAGGATAGATATCCCTGACTGGATAGTTCTCCCCTGCACATGTCAGGCCCCAGGCTCCTTCCAGTTTCAGATGGTGATAGCCATAAACTTTCCACCAAGTTGTTTTTCCATCCACTGATGATCCTTTGACTTGGGATTACAAAACCGTGATTTCCTGACACTATTAGTACATTTTCATTAGTCTAATTCTGTATGGAAAACTTCACACCTCAGAGGATCATTTATTATTCTGAAATAAAGTTCATATCAAAATGATAAGACATATGCTTAAGTGTCTTCTATTCCCCCCCCCCTTTTTTTTTTAATTGAGCCAGAGTCTCATACAGCCCAGACCGGCTTTCAACTCACTATGTAGCTGAGGTGGACCTTCCAGTCCTGATCTTGCTTCCATCTTCCAAGGACTGGGATTATAGGTCTACCCCACTCTACCTGGCCTTACAGAAACAAACAAAACCCAAACATAATGTTACTTTGTAGTCCAAGTTAGCCCGGCCTTCAAGGGTCCTCCGGCCTCTGACTCCTGAGACTAGGACTCCATGTGGCTGCTACCCGGCCTCGTTTTCTGTAGTTTTTGGAGTAGTAATGCTGTTCCATGGCTTTGTTTTGGTTTATTCTTCTGTAAACTTACTGGTCTGGATCTGTAGTTGTTGTAAACGTAATGCCTTTCAAACATTCGCAGTTTTTGTTGTTTGTTTTAAATATATAAAACACAGGGGAGCTGAAGAGATGGCTCAGTGGTTGAGAGCACTTGATGCTCTTCCAGAGGACCCAAGTTTGGTTCTTAGCACATCCAGAAGCTTATACTCATTTGTAACTCCATCTCCAGGATATCAGATGCCTGCTGTCACATGCACTTACATGCACATACCCACATACAAGCGTACAGACCTACACATTGTTAAAAATAATAAAAATTTCAAAATTGTTTTATGTGTATACATGTATGTACATATGTGACTGTACAGGCAACAAGTGTATGCAGGTGGCCATGGTGGTTAAAAGAGGGTATCAGATCTCCTGGAACTGGAATCATAGGTGGTTGTGAGCTGTCCTATGTAGATGCTGGGAACTGATCCCTTGTCCTCTGTAAAAGCAGTAAGTGCTCTTAACCACTAAGCAGCCCTAAAAAAAAAAAAAAAAAAAAAAAAAATCAAACACAGGACTCAGGTGTAGGGTAGAGTGCGTTTCTAGCATGCATGAGGACCTAGGCTAAGTCTCCCGGAACAGTAAAGTTAATCATGTGTACAATGATGGTGTAGCATGCAATCATGGCACTTAGGAGACACAGGAAGATCAGAGGTTTAAGGACAGCCTGGGATACATGGGACTATCTCAAGAAATAAAATAACCAAGAAAAAGTAGAGGGAATAGAGAAATGAATACTTATACACCTACCAATCAACTTCCATTGTTTTTTTGTTTTGTTTTCTGTTTTTTTTCTGAAGACCTTAGTTTATTACTTATCAGGGGTAGGGGTCCTCTTGCCATGGTGCACGGGAATAGGTCAGAGGACAAGTGCATGTGCCGGAGTTGGTACTTTCCTTCCACCGTGGGGTCCTGGGGATGGAACTCAGCTAGTCAGGACTAACAGTATGAGCCTTTAACCACTGAACCATCTCATGCCCAGGAGGACCTGAGCTTAGTCCTCAGAATCCACATAAAAAGTGAGATGTGGTTGCTAACAGTGATGGAGGATGAGACAGGCAAGCGTCTGAGGCTCATGGGCCAGTCTGACCAGCATACCTGCTGAACTCCATGCCAATGAGAAACACTATCTCAAAACACGAGGGGAGCAGTGCATGGATAATGCCCACATTGTCCTCTACCTTCCAGACACATGTACACACATAAGCCTACACACCTACACATATGTGCA